TAGTATGAGCCAATCAGTGGCAGTAATGACAGAGCATGCGCTGTTACGCAAAAACCGCGATAGAGTGAAGCCGCGGAAGTCGAAGCGTGAAGTGGCGAGGGTTCACTGCACTTTGTATTTTGATATTTTTTATTTTGCAAAGCTTTCAATGATTTTGTTGTAATGCTTTTCTGATTTTTCCGTGTAATTGAATGGCATCGACTCAGTGCTGACTCTTTATGTACAATAGCTCAAGACACCGGCCAGCCCTGCGCCATCCTTTACATCGCCGCTGTGTGAGGCTATCGTTGCAGTGACCGTTTAAAGCCATCTTGTTGAGGGCTGTCTTCTTTTGCAATGCCCTTTCTGGTGACCACTCATTACATCCTTCTCCAAAGCTTGAATAGTAGTCACATTAACTGACCTTCCTTAAAGGCCTTGCGATACTATTCTGAAAGCAATGTATTCCAGGAGAGATCTTGTTCTTTTTAGAACAAACGAAGCATCTTTCCACTCCAGTTTGTCGTGGCCAGTACCATAGACCATGTGATGGTTTGATTCCAGATGGTCAACACCAGTCCCTTGTGTTCCTTTTCTCTTCTGGTGACTTCCGGTTTTCCTAGGTGCATGCTTCATACCTACCATGTTCTGATTATTGGTGGATATTTGTGGGTGTTTTTCTCTCTCTGTTTGAGTCACACTCCATCAGCAAATGCAGGTCTCGACAGCTTTGCTTCATCAAAGTCATTCAAGTCAACTCCATTTTGAGGAGGCAGCTCTTCTCCGGTTGTATTCTGAGCACCTTCCAACCGGATGGGCTTAAATATGAAAATAAAAATAATTGATAAATTATCAAGGGTTCATGAGGGCGGGAGGGTGAGGGAGGAAGGGGAAAAAGAGGAGCTGATACCAAGGGCTCAAGCAGAAAGGAAAAGTTCTGAAAATGACGATGGCAACATAGGTACAAACATGCTTGATACAATGGATGTATGGACTGTTATAAGAGCTGTAAGAGCCCCCAAGAAAATGATGTATTAAAATGAAAATGATCAGACAATGTTCTGCTGCTATTCATAAAGTTTTCACTGTCAGAAGTAGATTGCTAGGTCCTCTTTCCTAGTCTGTCTTAGTCTGGAAGATCCACTGAAATTTATCCATCAAGGGTGATCCTGCTGGTATTTGGAATAACAGTGGCATACCTCCCATCATCACAACACTACCCAAGCCACCAGAGTACAACAAACTGATGGATTTACTTTCTTAGTATAAGGATACCCGGTGGGGTGGCGGTTACAGAGCTTGGCTGCTAACTTAAACTTGCCACCAGCTGCTCCAAGGGAGAAAGATGTGGCTGCCGTGTCCATAAGATCCGCAGCCTTGGGGAGCCTAGAGGGTGGTGCTCTGTCCTTCCCTGTTTCCTGGGTAGGAGTGACCTCCGTGGCATAGGGTTAAAAAATTTTTTTTTAATTTACTTGTAAATTCGGTAGTAGATCGTGTCATGTTTTATTTTAATTAGTGTAGTCATCGTACATGTTTTTGTAATTCTCTCTCTCTCTTTGGACATTAGAACATCATATTTAAAACGACTCAAAAAATGGATAGTTTGAAGTGTCAAATGAACTGGGACCAGCAAGCGCTGGAGGCCTGGCTAGAAGAATCAGCTCACAAGGACAGTGACACGCTCACCCTTCAGAAGTACGCCCAGCAGGATGATAGCAAGATCAGGGTGAGCCGATGAGGACTTGACCTTGTTAGGCTTTCTGTGAGTCTGTAGTATGTCAGTCTTCCCCCGCCTCCCGGCCCCTAAACGTATGCTTAGAAATGTAAAGAAAAACAGTTTTAAAGCAAGTTTGAGTCAGAAAGTATTCTAAGAAAAAAAATTTTTTTGGACTAAGAATCTTTAAGGCTAAGAATTCTTTATAAATGCGGCTGTGTTCAATCACCCATAATTCATTTAAAAATGCTACAGTGCTTCTGACGTCCTTTGGACATTTAGAGAGTGATCTGTAGGTTAAGAGTCTTGGTTTAGGGCCGTTATTTAAAGCATTTCAGAAAAGAAACATACTGGAACTATTTACAAGTGTTTTAGCTATTTTTGTCTAAAAAATCTTTTTAATATTATATGCCATTTTGCCAATTTGAGACTCTAGTGTTATTATTTGTCGTATTTTCACGATCAACATTTATAATCTACTTATAATTAAATCGGGCAATGTTACGAACATTAGTATTTTGCAGTATGCTGTTTTTAGTGGATCTTATACCAAAGATGTGACTTTTAAAAAGGAGTTCTGGTGGTACAGTGGTCAATGCTCCGCTGTGAATCAGAAGGTCAGCGGGTCAAACTCACCAGCCACTCAATGAGAGAAAGACGTGGCAGTCTGCTCTCGAAAGATTTCCTGCCACGGAGACCTTTTGGGGCATTTGCACTCTGTCCTATTGGGCCAAGAAGTCCTGATTGACTTGCCAGCAGTGTGTTTGTTTTTTGTTTTGTATTATTGAAATTATACATTCTAGTTCAGTACTTTTGTAATTTACTTTTAAAACTCTTGAAAGTCGTTTTAGAGCCAATTACATTTCCGACCTAGTTGTATACATACATAGTTGTCTATTGGGCAAAAAAATAAGGAAATGACACATAATATTATAGCTGTTGTACAGATCACATAAATGTTGTCTATACATAATGTAATAAGAATAGAATGCTTTATGTTAGACTGGTGTCTCGCAGCTTTTGAATTAATCATCAACTTTTATGTGTAACCGCTTCACAGGCACTGACCCTACAATTAGAAAGACTGACTATGGAATGTAATCAGAAAAGAAAGTTACTTGACAGTGAACTTACGGAGACTTTAAGTGCCCAGGTCGGTTGAATGAAGACTTTTATTTCATCATTTTCGAGATGATTTTTGTAAATGTATTTCAATGAACAGAAATGTGATTTTCTCTCTGCTTGACAGTTAGAACTGGATAAAGCAGCACAGGATTTTCGTCAGATACACACCGAAAGACAAGACCTCATTAAACAGTGGGAGAACACAATAGAACAAATGCAAAAAAGGGATCAAGACATAGATAACTGTGCCATGGTAAGGTAGCTGTTTAGTCTTCGCTATGTGTCCCACTGTATCTGTCTCTCTGGTATCCAATTCATTTCCAACACACATCACTAGTTGTTTGAAAATCACTGTAGTCAGTTTCAATATGTTTGGCAAATGTTTTTAAAAGTGGATTCTATTTAGAAATGTGATTGTTATAAAGATATTTATTTAGCCTATTGTAAGCCCTGGAGATGGGATCCTGCCATCTCTGAATCACAACACAAGGGAAACCAACAAGTAAGGCTACTGACCTCCAGATGGATGTTGAGAATTTAACCTATGTGCTTTTTGGTGGTAAGTTAACTAATGTAGGGAACTGAGCCTCACAGATAGCCAAGAAATAATAAGGGAGAAATTGAAACACGAATAAACAAAAAACTTTGTTCTTATTTGCCATAGACTCATGCAGTTGCAATAAAGTTTCACTTTTGATTCCGGGACACCAATAATGAGATAGGCATTCAGTAGAGCACAGGTAACAGACCTAGAGCCATGGCAGCACAGGGGTTAAGTGCTTAGCAGCTAACTGAAAAGTCCATTTTTCTACCTTTCTGCTCCACAGAAAGCTCTAGCAGTCTGCTTCTGCTTCTATAAAGATCTGCAGTCTTAGAAAGCCTGTGGGGCGGTTGTACCTTGTCTTACTTATAGGATCACTATGAGTTGGCCTTGACTCTACAGAAATGGGTTTAACACAGCCCTAACCATTATCTCATCTGTTAGGAGATATGTAGAACTCATTTGGGAGGTCATTGAGGAATTAAAGAGTAGTGTTCTGGGGAGTAAAATGAGAAGATTAAGGGAATTTTCGGAGCCGAGGATAGAAGGCAGGTGAGATATGTTCAATTCCATTCTGAATCTACTCCCTGGAAAAGTCAAAGCTCAGGCCATTGGGAGTTTGGGATGCTGATAACTGATAATTGGTTCACTTCAAATTTTTTAAATTCTCTATGGTAACAATATTTAGCAACAAAATGAGTTGGTTACTAGAGTAGACAAGGAGATACCAATCTTAATTGAAAATCTTTTCATTTCAGTTCTGACATTAGTGTCTCTTGATTTCATATTGCTTTCAAAACAAGCTTGAACAGCCTCCTTTATGTAAATTAAATGTGCTAGACTCAGATTGCATATACACAATCAATATCAAGTGGGCATTCTCACACAAGCCCATAGCTAAATTGCTTTGGCAGCAGGCACAACTGGTGAGACCCCTGACACTCCCCATACCAAACCACTAGATGGCTATTTAATTCTAACTCCTGGTGAGCCTATGCATCTCAGAGTAGAATTATACTCTGTATTTTTCAGTGGCTGATTTTGCAGAAGTAGATTACTAGGTCTTTCTCCCAAGGAATCTGTGAGTGAACCCAACCTTTTTTTTAAAAAAAAATCATTTTATTGGGGACTCGTACAACTCTTATTATAATCCATCCATCCATGTGTCAAACACATTTGTACATATGTTGTCATCATCATTCTCAAAACATTTGCTTTCTATTTGAGCCCTTAATAATTTATATATTATTATTATTTTATTATATCCTGCCCTGCCCGATGTCTCCCTTCACCCACTTTTCTGTAGTCCATCCCCCAGGGAGGAGGTTATATGTAGATCCTTGTAATTGGTTCCCCCTTTCTACCCTACCTTCCCTCTGCCCTCCTGGTATTGCCACTCTCACCCTGAAGGGATCATTTGTCCTGTATTCCCTGTTTCCAGGAAACACAGGAACCCAGCCTTTTAAAAACACATATCATTAATATGTAAAGAATGTATATGAATTGATAAGAAATGATACATGGTCCTATAGACTATAACTCTTTTTCTTTAAAAATATAATTTTATTTAAATTTCATTTATATATCATGCATTTCATCCACAATTCAGTAGTTCAAAAACATCAAGACAGGCCGTAACACCACAGAAGTAGAAAGCCCCATCTTTCTCCTGCAGAGCGCGGGGTGGTTTCAGACTGCAGACCTTGTGGATTGCAGCCCAACCTCTAATCATGCCAACAGCAGGAAGCCTCTTCAAACATAGCCTTTGACTATCCTTCAGCTGGGCCCTGAGCTCTGCTGTTCCTGCTGCATCCCTCTCATTTGTATTTTACCCCTTCTAAATCCATCCCTTGCGCAAGCAGGCTCCTCCAGCCTACACATTAACTTTCGGCTCTTTGCCTATCTCCACTCATTCTGCAATCCTGACTCAAATGGGCTGCTTGGTAAATGCGCTCAAATGACTCTTGTGAGTAGAAGTCATCATTTCTGGGTTTCCAGAGGATTTTGCCCACCGCTTAATGACTGCATTTGCATATATTATTTGTCTTCATATCCAACACTACCAATAGCCCTGAGTAGACATGTTCCAATTGAAATCAATTAAAAGGTTACTTTCCAAAAGTGAAAAATAAATTTTCTGAAACATTTACAAAATCTCATTGAAACTCAGATGGAAAATAATCAACACTGTTAGGTATTCTTTGGATGTCACGTTTCATTTATAAAAGCTTAACTGTCTCATGTGTTCAGCAAAGTTCTGTATAGAGAAAACATGTATTTAGTTGAAAGTACTTCTTTTTTTTTTTTTTTTTATTCCAGGAATTATCCAGGATAAAGCAGGAAACAAGAGAAAAAGAAAGTTTGATTAAGGAGAAGATCAAGTTTTTGGAGAATGAGATTGGGAATAATGCAGAGTATGAGAAAAGAATCTCTGCTGCTGATCGTAAAGTGCTAAAATATCGGATGGAATATCAGCGTCATGAAATGAACAGAAATCAGATGAAGGATGAAGTATGTCAACTCTAAAAGCTGGTTTGTGTGCTCATGATAAATTCATGCAACAACATAGATGCTTTCCTTTGGTTAAGGAACTGCCTCTGGCTCATTTAATTATGCCCGTGTTCTGACTCACACAGTCCTTTTTCTTCCTCGGCTCATGCATTCATAGCAATGCCCCCACAGAACTCACACGCAATGCTTATGATTGTGGGCTTTATGGAGGAAGTTAACAGGTTACAACTCAGGTGGGAATGCTCCAGAGAGAGTTGTTGGGTCAGGTCAGGTTACCAAGCTCTTTTAGGGCTGCTAATAAATGCCCAGAGGGCATGCCACTCCACTGTAAGCCTCAACCTCAAGGCATTCAGCTCCAGTTGGTGGGTCGGTGAACCCAGTCTCCCAAGTTAAGGGCCCAGAGGCACCACACCTGGTGAGCCCCAACCTTAAGGCACTCAACTCCAGTTCCGTAGTTGGGTCAGCAAGCTCAGCTCCCTGAAGTAAGTACTGAGAGGCACCTCATTCCGCAAATCACCATCAAAAACCCTGTCTTACTTGCTCTCAAAAAGCACTGGGCTTTACGTGCTCTGAGGGCTGGGAAGCCCACCGCTTGGCCCCTGGTTGTGCTATTGCTGCCCCTCTGTCACTCTTCAATGTCAAAGCTGTCTCCCGGGTCAAGGATGTTCATTGTGCAGAGATCTCTGTGTCCAGGGGACATGGCTCTTGATAGTAGTCAGACCAACACTCCCTCTTGCTTCTTAGAGTTTATTGTATGTATAGGCAGCAGGATAGCAGTCACCATGCATCCTGTTAACAGATGCTCACAACTGAATCCTACCAGTATCTCCCCCTACAGTCTTACCCGGACCCATCAGTGAAAGGCCTTTGGTAGGTGTTTGACTAGAAGAACCGCGTTAAGTAATTGGTGGCTACCCTGCAGTATCATCACATTTTGGAGCTCTTAAGGTACCCAGAATGAGTTCCGCAAGAGTGAAGGAGCCGGGGATACGGTTCACATTACTGGGGTGTAGTCGTGGACTCGTATGTATTGTCTCCCCTAACTGCCACACAGGGACCCCAGGCCAAACACTCCAAAGTTCTAACTGGCAAATTATAATGATAAGGTATCAATGTAAAAATGAACATTGACGTAGTATCATCGGAGATTTTTGCGTCTTCTCCGTGCTACATTTATACCTAACAGTTTTAACTCCCAAATTCTAGATTGCGATACCGGCTGAAGTTTCTCTCCTGATTTAGCAATACTTTTTTAGTCTGGGAGTAGGTCAGTGTATCTTCAAGCAGAATAAAATCAAACCAAACTCACTGTCATCGAGTCGATGCGGACTCATAGCGAGCCCCTGTGGGTTTCCGCGATGTAACTGTTTATTTACAGGGGTAGAAAGCCCGGCCTTTCTCCCGCGGAGCTGCTGGTGGTTCCCAACTAAGGACCGTGGGAATCGCAGCCCAAGGCATAACCACTACACCCCAGGGGCCCTCCAATAATAAAATTTCTCTTGCCTCTGTCTTTTCTTCCTTTGAAGGATGCATGCCAACTAGATAATTCCATAGGGGAAGTAAGCGATCCCTCTAATTAGCAACGGAGTCTTTCTGAAATACGTGCTCTAAGGCAATATTATCTGAAATTCTCACTGTGTAGATGGGAAATTGGAATGCTGTAGAGCATTGAATACTATAAGGTATCACCGCTTGGGGTTTAAAAAAAAATCTCTGATATAGAAAGAAAGACGTTTTTTCTTGGTCAAAAGAGGATAATTCCATATGATTGTATTGCAGAGTGCTCATTTAAAAAAAAATTGTAATGTTTAAACCAAATGCCGAAAAGCATAGAGACTTGTTTGTTCAGCCATTCATCTGCTGGTACTTTATTTCTTGAGACAATTCACATCCTATTGCAATCCAGTGGTTCCTATTATACTCAAGTTTTGCTGAACTATCACCACTATCTAACTTTAGAATATTTTTGTCACCCCAAAAAGAACCCCCATGCCCTAAAAGCAGTGACTCGCCATTTCTTCTTCCTGCCAGCGCCTGGCAACTATTAATCTGTCATTGATTTGCCCATACATTTCATTGGGTCCCTTGTGGTTAAGCACTCAGCTGCTAAGTGAAAGGTTGGCAGTTCGAACCCACCAGCTTGGGCCAACGATCAGGTAGTTCGCACCTGTACAGATCACAGCCTTGGAAACAATGCAGGGCAGTTCTACCCTGCCCTGTAGGATTGTTATGAGCTGGAATCAGGGAGTATGGTGGAAATAATACAACATGTGGCCATTTGCATCTGACTTCTTTCAGTTAGCATAACATTTTAAAGGTACATCCATGACAAAGCATGGCTCAGCATTTCACTAAAAAATGTGGAATAATATTCTATTGCATGAGTGAACCATGCTTTGTTTATGCCTTCTTCAATCTGTAGACATTTAGATTGTTACTACTTTTGAACTACTATGAATACTTTTGTGCGAACGTTCTTATACAAGTTTTAGTGTGCACGGGAATTAATGATTTTTTAAATTAGAATAAAAATTAAATACTAGTATGGTACATCCTCACTTTTATGCTGGGATAGATAACCCTACTTCTCCTTAAAAGTGTAAAACTCTTCTTAATGGAGGAGGAATTCAGGTCTTGGGTTTTCTGCTTCAACTTCTTGGATCAGCAGAAAAGCATGAGCCATTCGTTAGGTGGATCATGTGTTAGAACCTCCTGAGATTTGCCCAAATTCAAACTTTTCATGACTTTTGCAAATACTTTAGATGTACACGTGAATTTAGAATTTACCGGTGAGTTCAACCAGAACTACTTAATGCACGCTACTTACAGAATTCACTGCGGTTAGGTGTGTGCCATAGGTTGCTAGAATTTATTCAAAGTAAACAGTGTAGAACTTTTCAAAAATTAAATTCATTTATAAGGTGTAGAGTCAATACTTAATTTCTGTCTGTTTACTAATAAATAGCTGGATTGTTTAAGAAACACTGTGAGTAGAAGTTCCAGTGATTTAGGAGCTATGAGGAAAACTATTTCAAAAGTAAAGAAGGACTTCTGTGATGAGAACAAAAGGTAAGAAAAAATCCTTAAATCTATTGATGGTCTTTGCTTACTTGCAGAAAAGTTATTACTGTATATACTCGTGTTTAAGCCAAGTTTTTCAGCACATTTTTAATGCAGTTTTTGTGGTAAAATGAGGTGCCTTGGCTGGTATTCAGGTCAGCTTATACTTGAGTATATATGGTAAGTACTTAATTTTTGTGTTAAATAACTGTAAACTAAATCACTAAAGTTAAAAAATATCTTCCTGACTTATAAAGGCTCATTAAGTAGCAACACTTTTGCCTATTTTAAGTATATATATATATAGTTATAGATAACAAAAATGTTTATAACGAAAGAAACCTTCGAGTTTTATGAAGAAACTGTAGGATGAACTCTATTCCATGTTTGTTTGTATAAAATACTTTTAAAAACCTGTTTCATATAAACTCTCTTCAGGTTAGACCAACTGAAAAGTCAGAATCAGAATCTGAGTAGAAGGTTAAGTGAGATAACTGAGAAAACGATGTCTGTAGAAGAGAAAGCCACCAACATGGAAGATATGTTAAAGGAGGAAGAAAAAAGTATCAAGGTGAAATTGAATTTTAATTTTCCAAAAGTCATAACAAATTTAGCACTAGGGAGTTAATAACTTCTTTGGATCAGAGGGCTAGAAGATCATTTATGAGACTCAGCTTGCTAGTGTGATCCTACTTGTCATTAGAGATGTTGGCCATGTTTTTGTCTTTATTTTAAAGATGCCCCTGAAGTTCTCTCTCTCTCTCTCTCTCTCTTTTTTTCCAATTCATTTTTCTTAAAGTAGTTTCTCCATTCTCTCCAATGCCTGCAAAGCCTGGCTTCTAGGTCCTTCCCATCCTCCATGACACATGTTGGTGTAATGCATACGTATCTTGAAAAGTCCTCTTGTTTTCCAACTAATTTTCTACCCAGTGATTATTTTGGTTAAGGCCAGCTTCCTCCCCAGTGCATTGTTTGCATTTCTTCACCATCTCCTTTCTCATTACTTCCTAACAATCTGTTGCCATTTCATGGAAATGGGGCTTTGATAACTTTACCGGCATCCCTCCCACCACTTCTCTTTGACACGTTGGTAGCGTTGAAGTCAGTCTTTTAGGAAGGGGAAAAGACTGGCTTGAGCTGACGGGTTTTCTAATGTGGCAGTTGGTTAACTCCATTAGTCACTCCGTTTCGCGGAAGATTATGTAGCCATGTCCTTGGTGAAATCCACGAGCCTTTATTTGTACAATATTGAAGTTTTGTTTTTCGTGTTGTCCATTTTTATGCCCACTTTTCCTCTTGCTTATAACTGTAAAGAAAAACCAGGGGACCCTTTAATACCTTGCTTAGTAGTCTCCGCAGCCAGACTTCCAAGTTCATCACTCACAAATCCTTATCTTGTCCCAAACATTTGAACATAATTCAGACAAGTTATTTGCCCCTGCGTGAAAAGAATCACCCTTCCTACATGATCCAGTCACATGGTTATCATTGTCTTTTAAAGCCTCACCAAAAATATATTTAGTGATCTTCAATTCTAGCCACATTCTGTTGTGGGTTCCGTTTGTATTTTCTCAGATGATAGAGACACTCTGAATAGGATTTTTGACTTCTTTCTGAGCCCTCAGCAGAAGGGTCTTGGGCATTCATAATCCTCTCAGGGGTCCTCAAACTAAAGCCAGCGGGCCACATGAGGCCTGCCGAGGACATTTATCCGGCCTGCCAGGTGTTTTTGCCCCGCTTGTTTTTTTACTTCAAAATAAGATATGTGCAGTGTGCATAGGAATTTGTTCATAGTTTTTTTTTTTTAAACTATAGTCCAGCCCTCCACCGGGTCTGAGGGACAGTGAACTGGTCCCCTGTTTAAGAAGTTTGATGACCCCGGGGTCAAGGCTTTTACTGTTAGGCATCTTAAAACCCCTGCAGCCTCTACCCATTACCCAATTCCAAGGCAACTTTCTTGTCCCACCATTATGTTCTGCCTTCATTCGGGTTTAGTAATTCTTTGCTGCTACATTGCCCCTGATTAAGCCCCACTAGGCATCCTACGCCATTCTCTCCATTGATTTTAGTTCACTTGTTGTTCCCAAGGCAACTTTCATGTGTAGGTATTTCTTATAATAGGATATCCAGTTCTTGGGACCAAATACTTAATTATCTAGTGCTGCTGTTACAGAAATACCACAAGTGGGTGACTTGAACCAACAGAAATTTATTTTCTCACAGTTTAGAAGTCAGAATTCAGACTTCCAGCTTCACTGGAAGGGCTTATCTCTTGGCTGTGGAGGCGGGGCCTAGTCTCTGAGTTTTTGCTCCAGGGCACTTTTCATGTAGCTTGACATCTCTTTCCCCATCTCTGCCTGCCTAATCACTCCCGTTATCCCTGGTAGGAGATGAACTCATGACACACACAACACTAACCCCTTCTCATTAGCATAGAAAACTCTTTCCCAATGGGATTATAAAAACAGATCTAGAGATTAGGATTTATAAACCAAAGGGAAATATGGTTACCTGGGTATATGAGAAAAGGGACAAATTACTCCGTTTTCTGAAGTTTAGAGTACATTGTACCTGAAACCTTGAAAGTCAAAATCAGTCTGCTGCCTGAGAGAAACAGTGAGGATGGAAAGCTGGTTCCCATTTCCTGGAGGGCTGCACTGTAGAGGTCACCTGAAGGTAGACTGTGAGTGGAGTGGTGGCTGTTGGGTCCTGGGACCAGCCCCTTCTGGTTCACAAGAGCTGCTTGCTACATTTTCAGGAATTATACATGTTGATTGCTAAATATCACTCGTATAAAAGTATATATAGACATAACATGAAATGAGGTTAAAATTAAACATAGTAAGTACTCATCATTTATCCCTTCCAAGATTGTATTATTTTATTTTATCTATTCTACCTGCATGATAGACATGTTTCATGATCGTCTCCTATGATGCATTTAGTGGGGTTACCATAGTAGCCTTAGATCTGTCAGAATGGTAGTATTTACATTACAGACATCGGCTTCGCCTCTATCCTTGATGTACTAGGGGACTAGTTAACCATTTATCTACTCACCGCTACTAGAGAGTGCCCCCAAAGGAGGTGGCAGATTGGGTGATGAGTTTCTGTAACATCCTTAAGTCTCCAGTCTAGTTTGTGAATTTATAAGCTGGGTGTCTCCAGTGGATTTTCTTTTCTGAGGAAATCTGTTTTATGGGCTAGTTCTGAGGCGAGGACCATGTGAAATGGAGTTAAGTGACACAGCGCAGCAACAGAACACCTGGCAGTCTACAGGAAAGCCTGGGACTCTTTGCAGTGGTAGTAAGGGATTTACCTTCTCAGGGACTAAAAGTGTGGGGCGTTGAAGCTTATGAGTAAGTCCCTAAATTATAATGTTCATGTAAATAAACGATTTCAAGGTATTATAATGTTGTTAATAAACAACTATTCTTTTCATCAGGAAGTGGAAGTCCAATTGAACATACTGAAAGAGGGGCTATTTAAGAAAGTTCAGGAATTTCAGACCGAGACAATGAAAGAAAAATCTGTTGTCTCAGAAATTGAAGGAACTCGCTCCTCTCTAAAGCATCTCAACCATCAGTTACATAAACTGGACTTTGAAACTTTGAAGCAGCAAGAAATTATGTACAATCAGGTAAATGGGACTATTATGTTTCCACGTTGGTTTGCAATAGTGGTGATGCTTAGATGACCCCATGTCCCATGGAAAGAAAGATTTCTAACTATTCTTTGGGAGGGATTGACGGATGCTCATGGTGCTAGGTCAGTAATAAGGTGGGGGGGGGGGCGGCCTTAGAAAGCTAGCGTTTTCTTGATCTGAAATGAACAGGTGAGAGAAGAGGCAACTCTAGATATGGGGATCCAAATCCATGTTCTAAAGGACTGAAGTGCAACAACTAAAAAAGTATAGGCAGTGATGGGATTCAAATAATTTCACAACTGGTTCACTGCCTCAAAGACCATTTTAGTATAAAAAAAAATGATACACCGAGAGGTAGTTTATTATTTCATACAATTAATACTTAAGTAAGGAGAATAAAAGAATATGTTCTCAGATTTGCATAGATAAGCATTAAAAAAGAATAAGGAATGTAAATTTGTGGTTTCCATATCGGGTGGCTGCCCAGCTGCACACCTTAGGGAGAACCCTGGTAACAAGTACCATTTTATCAAATGGTTCACTGAACTCAACAAAAACTCGGCATCAATTCTGCTGAAGCAGTGTGAACCTGCTGAATCCCACCACTAGGTGTAGGTTGGCGGAAGCCTCTAAACTCTATATTATTTCTTAGTTGAGCAAAGATGCTAGCCCCCTGCTCCTCCAAGTCAATACAGTCAAGGTAATGTTGGCATCTTCCCCTACTTGTTCTTGTAAAGAAATATTTATATATCCTGATCTCAAATTAATTTCCTAATGCTCTCTTTCTCATCACCTCAATTTCATCATCTTTCCTAATTTCTCAAAAATACAGATATGCAAATTACTTAGAAACAATCAGAAATATATCAAATTTGACCCTTTCATGACTAACAACTCATGGTGTGACATCGCCTTTGCAATATCCCCTTTGAAAGCATCGCCCCGAATCCATGTCATTGATTTGCATCATGGTGATTCCATCATGGTCATGTGATAAACACATCCCACCCCTTGACTTTTGGTCCCATAAATGACTGAGGAGTGAAAGTGATTTTAATAAAAGGTGACATCGAGGCCAGATTCAGGGCAAAATGTGAATGGTGATTGTGACATCTATATAAATGGTTTGAACTGTCTGTTTCTCCTTACTGACTTTTTCTTTTCCTCTTCTTGAAAACGGCAACAGGACTTCTACATTCAACAAATAGAGCGGCGGATGTCACGATTAAAAGGGGACATTAATTCTGAAGAGAAACACACCCTTGAGACAAAAATTGGTGAACTTAAAAAGGCGTTGGAAGAGAAACAATCCACATGTGGCCTTTTACAAGCACAGATCAAGAAGCTTCATGTAACTTGGCCTGACTACTTTTATGTTTGAAAATACTCTTAGTCGTTCTGTTGTAAGAAAGCCTGTTCCTAAGATGACTTTAAATAGGGTGATTGCCCAGCTGTCCACATATATCACAAGTAGATGACCCAGTGTTCCTATTCCTGTACTTTTAGAATGTAATATTACCATTTATTGTGTGCTAAGTTATTGTGCTATATGCTTTTAATATTATAGTTAGGAATCTAGTTTTACTAAATACATTAATATAATAAATGCATTATGTATATCATGTGAGGCACTTCAAAAGGTTCATGGAAAAATGGAATTAAAATATGATGGGATTTTTCACAAACTTCTTTGAGCCCCCTCATATATATCATATCTATTATTATACTATTACTGTGTTTCAAGATTCATAATTTGCCCAGTGTCATACAGCACGACGTGGGAGATTTGGTGCCTGGTTTTTGAGCCTACAAACTACTCCAATTATACTATATTCATCCGGAACATTGATAAACACCAGTTTGATATTATGCATCTACCATAGTAGCTTGATTACCCTTAATCTGTCTTTGAGATGAGATCTGAAAGAAAAGCTTCTCTTTCACTGGCTGCCTATTGTTGTCACTTAGATATTTACTCCATTACAACAATATTTCAAATTACTTGATTGTGTTAATAAGGTGAAAACATCCTTCATCTCTGGGTATGTTATTATGATCATTGTAGTATGAAATATGTGCTCAAAGGAAACTTTGCCCTACTTTTCCGTCTTCGAGTTTAACTAGATAGTTAAAAAATGAGAGAATGAGAGCGGAGAAAACCAAATAGGAAAAGAGAACCTGATGTGCTTCAATCTTGGCGCATACACATGGAAGGAGCTCTGGTGGTGCAGTGGTTAAGCGCTGGCTACTAACCCAAATCTGACCGGCTTGAACACACCTGGGAAATAGACATGGTCATTAGCTTTAATACAGATCCTAGCCTAGGAAACCTACCCTAGTTCTCAGTCTGATTGGCTCCCCTTGCTGGTCTAAATTCATGGCAACAGGTTTGCATAGAATGATTGAAAAGGCTAGTGACGGGTGTCCTCTAGTGGTCTTAGGAAGAATTGTAAGAAGGGGCTGCCTCTTTTCCTCGCCCCCTCTTCAATTTTCTTTTTGCTAAAGGTGTCAAAACATATGATTAAAATGATAGGTAACAACACCTATAGACTGATACTTTGTTGTCTGTTGAAATAATATATTTTAAAGTATTTCTTTGGTTTAGTAGGAAAAGCACATGCTTTGGTGTCAGTAAGTGCACCCTTTGAGTCACAAGGTTATTAGCATTACTGAATAGTTTCACTTTTCTGAGCTCGATTGAACCCAACTATTAGATGGTACTAGAAAGTGTCTGATGTGAGACCCAAGTGGACAGTGAGAGCTCACTCTTGTTTGGGTGGGAGCAGGAGAGCCCCTGGTGTAAATCGAGAGAATGAAGAGCTGGCATGTGTGGCCCATTTATCAAGCATTCCATGGAATGCCACCATAGCTAATAGTTCCCTCTCCAGAATAGTGATGGTCTGTGCTACAACACAACTATCGTAATAGCTGATCCTTACAGGCCCTTTCAACCATGTTGTGCACAGTTTTCGACAACAGTACCTTTAATCTTCACAACCCAGTGAGGTGTAGGCATTGCTACCGTGGTTTAGAGATGAAGAAACTGAAGGCGGCTGATAGCTAATCCAGGCCATCTGCTTACAGAGCCTGAGCTGTTAACCAGGACCCTGTGTTTTCTCAGGGTTACTATTTCTCCCACCTGGGGCTTGAATTGGATCAGCGAGCTCCAAATGGGAGCGAGAACCCCAAGTGGAGGATGTTTCCCCACCTCCTGTTACACTCCACGTGATGCAGTTGCACCGGGAACCAAGCCTAACATTCCCGAGAACTATTGAGCACAAGCTAAATTTAGTCGCAATAGATGATAAAAATGAAAATAGAGCTACATGATTATCTGCGCTTACTATATAGCATGAAGAGTGAGATAAAATCTAATTATTATAAATATGTGATGGGTACATGATTTAGTCTGATATATTTAATATCATATATATTTATTCATTAGTAATGAAAACATTTACACAGTTTGCACTATTTTTTTTTCCTTTTTACAGAATGACCTTTACTTTATCAAGAGGTCCAACAGTAAAAGCTGTGATGAAAAAGAATCTCTCCAGACCAAAATAAATGAACTAAACTTTTTTATGGACAGATCGGAAAAAGAACTAAGTAAAGCCAAAGCTTACAAACAGGTGCAATAGAAATTGCTTGCATGTATAATCTTAAAAACCACACAATTACATTTTAATTGTAGACACTTTTAAAATAGCCCTGTCCCCAAGAGAAGGTGTTACATTTTATTTTCTTCAAGCCTTTAAAGAAAATTGGCTTTATTTATTGTATTTTAAAATAATTTCATATACATGTTTTCTAGGGTGGGGGCTTACGCAGTTGGGCTGCAAACTGAAAGATTGGCAGTTTAAAACCACCAGCTGCTCTGGGGGACAAAAATGAGGTGTTCTACTCCCACAAAGCGCTACAGTCCCAGAGGCCCACGGGGGAGTTCTCCCCTGTCCTCACAGAGTCACCGGGAGTCAGACTTGACTCGCTGGCAGTGAGTAGTAGAGTAGCAGAGATATTTTCTAGGGCACTTAACATGTTTTAAGGCTTCTTATAGCCTACGGCATGATGTTAACCTAGTATATTTAATGAGCTCCCCTTTGTTAGAATTGTGTTTGTTTTCAGGGTTTGATCATTGGAAACAATACTATTATCTATAATGCATATATATATTTTTTATACAGTTGTTTAATTAGTCCCTTAAGATATTCCTAGCCGTTTAATTATGGCTCACAAGAATAAATATTTCCAGTGTCTGGTGCCTGTTTTTAAGGCCAAGGGTCCTCCCCCCCAGCAGTGGGTAAGCATTCTGTAGTGTTCACCATGCCCACGGCTGGATCTGCTCATCTATAAAGTTGATGTCAATGTGAAAGGCAAACGTGGTATTTCGTTATTTCACTCGGCATTTATTTAGTTGATGACACTTTAAAATCAACTTCTGTATGTGTGTGGGTTGTTTATAATTTCAGTCTTTGGGATTTCAAGTTTGGGAAGTTTGCATTTTTAAAATGCATTCCTATGTTTTGTAAACATACTCACTATATCATCAATATTACCAATAATATCCCCATTTGTCTTTATATTTTCACTCTGCATATCAAACATAAGCTTATTTTAACACAAAGTGTATAGCTTTCCCCTACTTCTAATGAGTATGCTTAGAAATTTGTCACCCTAAAATTGCCAAATGTTTATTGTTTCTAGTATCTGCATTGGTTTCACCTTTACATTCAGTTTTTAATTCATCTGAAATTGATTTTTGCTACAATGTGAGATGCGTAGACCTCATCTTACCATCCCCACTAGACAGCTACAGTTATGAAGTGCTCAAATCTTACATTCCCGAGTGCTTGTTTTTGGGTGTTCTACTCTGGAACCAATCTATTTCTCTTTGGGCCAGTGTTCTTCTCAAGGGCTGAGTTAGTTTGAAATAAAAATTATTTGTGTACATTTTCTAAGATTTAGTTTAGAATGTAAAAGCATCCATTCATAGGACTTTATATATATAGTTAGATGTTGAAAGTTTCAATTTTAGGAATAACATTTCTTCCTTTTATGTTTTATTAAAGCGTAGATTTAAAATGGAATGATTAAAAAAACACTTGGAATAGCCATAAACCCATTTCCTTAGAAAAACAAATACAAAACATAAAACTATTGCCCTGGACACCAAGTGATGTCAATTTAACCTTAGTTAATATCCTGGTCAGTGCCCAACTTAGACCAAAAGCTAGATTGTGAGTTTGATTTTACTGCAATAAAAGAGAAGCATTTTGGTTTGGGTAAAAAAAAGAATGACTTAAATAGTTGACCTCTTTTCATGTGTTGATAGGATTTGATGATAGATGACAATCTTTTAAAACTTGAAGTCAAACGTACTCGAGAACTGCTTCACAACAAGGCAGAAGAAGTGCTTTCCCTGGAAAAAAGGAAACAGCAATTGTACACAGCGATGGAAGAACGAACCGAAGAGATTAAGGTTCACAAAACAATGCTCGCGACACAAATACGCTATGTGGATCAAGAGCGGCAAAACATCAGGTAATTCTGAGAACTGGAGGCATTGCCAACGTAAGTGCTGAAAGCTTGAAGAGAGAGGTTAAGAGTCGGGCGAGGAGACCTGGCTGCTCCCTGTCAACCGAGGATGTCCATCTTTTCCAGACTGGTTTGAAAAGACTTTCATGAAACATTTAGAGTATCTTTACCCTAAACTTGTGCTCTCTCCGCTGCCTTCTGATGGCAAATTCTTCATTCTTTTTTTTTTCTCTGTATGTTTTTGTTCCTTAATCGTTTTATTAGGGGCTCATAAATCTCTTATCATAGTCCATACATACATCAATTGTGTAAATCACATTTGTACATTCATTGCCCTCATCATTCTCAAAACATTTGCTCTC